TCATCATCATTATTAATATTAATTTTTTTTCACAAAGAGCAAGCCTATCACTAAGCGAGTGCAACTATCATTATCTCCATCATTATGAAGTATTTAGGTTTAGACCTACAGGCCTATTGATTTGATCCAGTATTTCCAGAGTCACTGCTGAGGTGTTCCTGTTTCTTCCATCTTTTCCCTATACTGTCTCATTCTCTTTTTTCTAGTCTGTACTTCTGTTTTCGGAAGCTGTCTAGTTTCATTCTTCTTACATGATCTTGCCTTTTCTTTTTGTAGGTTTCTATTTCATTTACTGTTTTTAATTTAATTACGTTAAATTACATTTAAAAAATAAAAAAATCATCTCATGTCTCAAAAGCAAAGTCGCTCGCCTTTCACCAAAGAGGCCCGTTTCAATTCCCGTTGATTGCTGGACAATCTTTTGTGAAATTTGTTCCAACTAAACACGTTTGGCTGCTTCACAACGGCTAGTCCAACCCCTGCGAAGTGGCCTAAACCCTATCCCAATCCTAATTCCTTCCCAATTCGCCGCTGGATAGCGACGCAGGAACACGTGGTAGTAGGTGAGTACCCGGAAACGATACCTGGCGGTCCTTTCGAACACTAGCTGCAAGGAGATGTGAAAGATATGACAATATTAAGAGACGATAACTCCGAGCGCAAAAGCGCTCAACACTTCCCAAGGGGCTTGAAGACATATTATGTCTATGTAGACAAAAAAAAAATAAAAAAAAATAATAAAAATAGACTTTTTTCTTATGTTCCTTGTTACTTTCTGGTGACCACTCCCTTGTAGTGGATCTTCATCTGACCTTCTAAGCTACTTCTGGTCTCCTTTTTGTTTTACGATTCACATTGCACTTCCATATAATTTGGGTTCGCTTTGCCTGTAACAATGTTAGTGTTTAATTTTTGTTTTCTTCGGTCATGTTTTAAATTAACTTTTCTTATTATTCTGAATGATTCTAATGTTATTCTTGCCAATTTTATTTCATGCCTTCTTCCTCATGAGCCACTTTATTTCCTAGGTATCTGACGGTTGTCACCTGTTCTATTATTTTATCTTCTACTAATTTCTTTTCTCCATCATTCTTTTCCTTTGAAACCCCTTTGTTTTTACCATTGCAATTTTCATGATATATATTGCTTGCTAATTGTCTTCAGTTTGAAAGCTCCTCTTTGCAAGTCATCTTTGGGTATTGCCAAAATTACTCGTTTACCTGAATAGAGTATGTTTTTTTTTGTTTCTTTGCCTCTGGCAACTTGTATGCCTGTTTCTACTTCTGTTTTCCCATTTCTGACTACATAGTTCATATAGATGTTGAACAGGAGTGGCAATAGTGTTCATCCTTGTCAAGAGTCCAACATTTGTGGTGAATGCTGATGTGATTCTTCCATCTGTTTGCCATGTCTGATTGCTTGTATAGGCTCTAGATGGCACCTATTACGCTTACGTGTCTGTCAAGGTTTTTGTGGTCTAGGATTACCCATAGATGATTTTTACTTTGTTTTGCTTTTCATAGACTATAAAGAGTAAAAATATTGGCAAGAGTTATTCATATCTTGTTTTTACTATTTGCTCTAGAGTGAAAACTGTGTCTGTGGTGCCTCGTCCTTTCTGAGAGCCACATTGTTCTTCACACATTCTTTCTTTGCTAAGTTCAGTCAATCTATTTTTGAGAATGCTTGCGTAGATCTTGTAGGTTGCAGAAAGCAGTTATCCCTCTATAGTTTTCTCATTTTTTTGGGGGGGGGGGACCCCTTTCTTTGTCTATTTATTACTATCTCAGATCGCTATTCTTTTGGGATTGTACCATATTTCCATATTTTATTTATAACATTACAAATTTCTCTTCTAATTTAGTGCCACCATACTTCATCATGTCTAGGTTAATACAGTCTGATCTTTGGCTTCTCCTGCTTTTTGCTTTTCTGGGTATTTCTATTAGTTCCTCACTCTTTATTCTGCTGTGTATTATAATTTTGAAATTCTAAGGTCTGCACTGTTATTATTATCCTTTCCTTCGTGTTGTTGCTTTATTTCCTCTTTTTACCATAAATTAGTATCATAGTTGATCCTTTGCTCTTCTGATATAATGAAAAGTAGGATGTCTCTTTTTTCTATGCTTAATTTTTCTAGGAAATTGAATTCTACTTTTGTGAGCCTCTTATGTCTCTTTCTACAGTTTTCACAAACTTTTCCCAGTTCTCCATCGTTATTCTTCCCACCGTAGCTCATAATCTTTTGTATTCCACACGGTGTGGCATACTTCTTGATTGCAAATATTTTCTATATGTATTTTTCTTCTCCTTCATGAGGTCTGCTATTTCTTTACTCCACTGAAGCCATTTCTTGTCCTCCTTTTATTTATATCCAATTCTGCTGCAATTTTGATAGTCTGTTTCAGTAATTTCCATTTTCCTTCCATGTCTTCATCTATTTGATTTTCTATCTGTAGCTTATTTTGTATATTTCTTTTCTTTATAGCTTTCTGATATTGTGTTCCTCCAGTAGATATATTTTGAGTTTTGTTTCAGCTTTTCTTTTTTTAGGTTTTGTTTTAATTTTTTTATGCTTAAATACGATTTTACTCTCTATGGTGTGGTTGGTATTTATTTTCTGTATTTTGCCCCAGCTAGTATGATTTCTGCTTCCTTCCTGGTACCAATAACTACTTTCAGCTTCTCTCTGCTGTTTAGTTTGCTTTCTTCGTGTGACTCCTCTCTTCCTGTCAGTTGTAGCTGCTGTCCTTGTTGATGTTCCCATATTAGTACTTGTTAGTACTCTCTTATTAGTACTTCCTTAGTTACTTGGCCTTGTTTCTCCATTTACTGTTTCTTGATCCTCTTGGCATTGTCGTTCTAGTGCATTTTAGTTAGGTGTAGCGGGTGCTAATATGATTGGTTCTCCAGCGATTGCTGTATTTCCTCCCTGGCTTCATTTTGTGACCTTGTCTTTTGCGGTGTTTAGTGTTTCGTATGACTGTTATTCTTGTGCTCCTTGTATTACTATCTCCTCTTTCTCATTTTTCTTTGTTTGCTTATATTGCTTCTTATAACATTCTCTATCTCTTAGCTAATACAGAACTTTATAAGTCTTTTCAGGTGTGTCAGTGTTTTTTGTATAGTTAACATTTATTTTATTCAGTTCTCCAGTGTTATTTTCCCTCTGTATTTGCAGTCTTGGCATGACCCCATCAATATAATCTGTTTTTGTAGTATTAAAGTAAAATATAAGTAGTAATAATTATTACTACATAGTTTTATTATTTTTAGTAATTTTGAATTACAATTATTACATAATGAATATACCAATATTTATATTAATTAGTTGAATGTTTTGAGACACATTTTTTTAGAAATCAAGCACTGAGAGGAAGTATTAAATTACCCATGAATGTTCAGGCAACAATAAACGATTTAAAAAAAGTGTGTGTAAGGTAACTATTTCACAGATCTGTACTGTAAGTGAAAAAGCGGATTACTCAAAACATACTTAGCCAAATGTCAAAAGACTTTCTCCACAAATTGCATACTTTTTTCTTTTTTTTTCTATTTCAGCAAATATTTTCTCAATATCATCCGATTCAGAAAAAAATAAAGCTTATTTTATTCTTTCTAGATATTTAGAAAATTGAATTTAAAAAATAATTAAAAAAAGAAACGGTTTTGGAGCTTCTTTGGAAATTTAAATACGCCTGAAAGGTCAGTACTTTTGACTAGCCCACTTTTAAAATCAACCAGTACACAAATATTACACTATTTCTGATTAATTCAAAAATTCTTACTTTCTGTCCATTGAAGAATTCTCCTCCAAATAAAATAAGTTCATCCTTCAGAGGGTGAGGAACCAATGAGAAGTTTACTCTTCTAGATGGGGGTTCCACAACTTTTTCCACAACTTGCAATCTCTTTTTTTCTTCTTTTTCTATTTCAGCAACTATCTTCTCGATATCATCCTATTCACCAAAAGAACACAAGACTATTTGAATATGAAACAAAAATGTTTGTACAACACAATATCTGACACTAATATACAACACAATATCTGAATTTGCTGGTAGCAGCGTAGGAGACTTCCTTTTTGATTTAATAATAATAATAATAATAATATAATACAAAAAATTAAAAACTATGTACTATGGGGCAGAAGTGGAAGCTGTGCACAATTTCTTTATCTCTGAAAGCCCTCCCTAGCTCTCATACTATATTTAGTTGAATTATAAAGACAAGTAGGAACAAATATTTCTGCAAGAATTGATAAGAAAAGATTCACCCCCAATTAATGGGAACTATTTGCAAACGTAAATGAACTACATATTTTTGCCATTATTCCTTATTGTGCCCTGCATGAAGGCTAACTGCCATGAGAACTTGGAAACAGTTATTTGAATCGAATATTTCCCACTGAAGTCAAGAAAACGTGCACACTTTGCAAAGCTACATTTATGCCTAGAAGCAAACAAGGGATCATCTCAGCATTTGCTCAATAGATCAAGGAAAACTGGATGGAAAACTTGATCGAGATGTGGAACAATGACCCAAAAAAGGATGAAATAATTATATGCATCTACAACTACAGTTGAACTAGTCGTTTTTGTGGCTTCCATACAGCAGACAACTGATGATGATGGCTAAGCCATCGAAAGCTGCTCTTGTAATAAATAATATTGTTGGCAATCATGACGCATATAATTATTTCATTAGAAGTGCCAACGATAATGCACCACAACACCTATATTCCAAAAAAGGATGTTCAATATTTGTTAAAGGCTTATTTATTTTTTTAATTATAAAGTAAAAATGCATTACATATCCTTGTTAAAATCCATATTATTTTACTTCTTTGGTGCTCAGTATTAGCTCTAATTGTATAGAAACAGTTAGGCTGCAAAAAAGAATTTAGCGCACTAACTTGTGTGTAAATTTTAGTCATTTAATGTCATCTGGCAGCGGTTTGAAAAATAACATATGGAAACGGTTTCATTGGTTTCCAGCCTCAATAAGCAGCTCATCAATGGGAAAAACTTTCTCAGCAGAAGTGATCGTCTTGTCTTTCATTGTCGTAAGGTCAAGTTTGCAGCTGTCATCTCTCACTTTTGTGGTACTAGAGCTGGATGTAGTGTGAAATCTCATGGTGTTTAGCTTCTTTGTGACAATACAACTGTACTTTCTCCCAGCTTACAAAGAATGCTGTGAAGGACAGTGGCATCAATGAGTTGGGTTGTTCTCTCTAGTCCAGATTTCGCACTCAGTGGCTACCACCACTTATCAAATCTCATGAAAGATCTTCAGTGACGAACATTTTCAGATGAATGTGAGGTAAAAGAAGTACTTTTTGTCTATTTTACAAACAAAACCTTTAAGTATTTCTTCAAATGCATAGAAATGTTAATATACATGAACAAAACGTGTGTTGGAGTATAGGATAATTAAGTGGAAAAGTTAGTTTTTTCTTTCTTCTTTGTATCATAAATAGAAGCTAGTGAAGCCAGAAAGCTATAAATCCTACATCATAGATGTATTCTAATGTGAATTTTTTGTAGTGCGCAGTTGATACTCTTACCTAATGAACATTATTCCTATTTCATATGTTATAGTAATGGACATCATATTGGTTGAAAATATCTCACATTGATTCATTCTCTGGATACAAATACCCACCAAAAGCATTTGTAAATCAAGAGTCAAGAAAGGGTAGAATTCCTGCCTTAGTTAAAAAGAGGCTTCCAAAAACCAGGACAATGCAGTATACAATTCTTTTTTGTAATCTGAAAGTCTAGAGCTATATGATTTTTTCCCAGAATATTAAGCCATATCTAAGTCAAGAATGAACATTCATGAAATACACACATGCTGTGCAAAGGCTGACTGAATTTATAACACTTTTTTTCACAACTAATAGGGCAATTAATTAAACACCAGAGTTCTTATTAAGTGAGATGAAGATGATGTTATTAAACATAGCAAATATAAATGCACTTGCATTAGAAAAAGTAAAGTATTGAGGGGGAAAAATTAAGATGAGAAAATAAAATAAAAATTTACTGATGTCACTAGTTTGGAAAAGAAATGACCTAAATAAGAAAATGAAAATCCCATTATCATTTTGATATATAATTGCTGCATTTAAATTTTTAAGTGTTTTCAGTAGTTCAAAATTCAAGAACTTTACTTCAAGAATTAGGAGGCATCAATTTTTGAACCTATCCTTTTTCCTTATATTTTGGACAGTGTATTACTCTAAAGACTGACTTTATTTAATTAATATTTTTAGTTTTTCGGAATACCACATACTTCCTCACAGTATTTTCACCTTCTGCAATTTTTGAAAATTCAGTATTCAATGAATATTCCCTTTTTATATGAGTACTCTGGATTATTTGGAGAAAAGAAAAAAAGAGGAGAAAAAATGACACTTTATTTGAAAAAACTTTGTTTTTAAAATTTATTTCATGCAAAATTAGTATAAAGTGTAAAGGGAGAATTAATTGATGAATAACATTACTACAAATGATACTGAAAGAAGTTTTCAAAATGAGTGAGTGTTTACCTATTTTATGAAACAAGAACTTGTAAATATTTATATGTATGAGTGTTTACCTATTTTATGAAACAAGAACTTGTAAATATTTATATGTATGATTGTATATATTATATTCAATTGTCTAGCTGAACTATTCATATATATCTGTGCCACTTTATGTTTATATATTTATTTTTAATGGTAAGATGGAATTTGGTTTTCTCTCATAATAAAGCTTTAGATATACATGATTCATCAGTTTTTGTATGACATTGTTTTGGTTTTAGTACTACAAATTAAGCTGGATTCAGATTCTTCTGATGATGTATTTGTGAGTTGCATGATCAAAGGTGAAACATTAGTGATTTTTTTACGCTAAAACTATGACAGATTGGATAATTTTTTGAGGGATGTGTGCAGAAAATACAAGTGTACCATTTGAGTTGAATGTTGAAATTGACTTAAGTATGTTTGGCATACCAAATGTAAAAGAGTCAATAGAAAATGCATATTTGGAGGAATTGAAGATTTGCCTAAGAACTGTTTTTTTTCAAAACACTTGAAGTCTTTTTTTTTCTTTTTCTTCTTCTTCTTTTTTTACATTATAAAAACTTCAATCAAGCTGTTAACTGTTCACGTTTGTGATCTATAAATCAGGTTGTTGTAAATTTTATAACTCTCTAATAGACAAATTAAAAGATTCTTACAATGTGGTGATTCATTGAAAGTATTGATATTATACACAAAAAGCAAACATGTGAGTAAAGGTATTTTATATTTCTTTTAGTTCAGATTTGTTAATTATCTTAGAGAGGGGCAGGGGAAAATTAAAATAGAATAAAGAAAATGGAACAGGGAAAGAATAATTAGAATTCTTTTTCCTGCCTGAAAGACAATTGTCATAAATGAATACCCAGGTAATGTAGTCCATTTAATAAAAAAAGAAAGAGAGAGAGAGAGAGAAAAAAACAAGTTATTGGAACTTTACAGGATGTTGGGTATATTCTGAATAACACAAATCTAGTGAATGCCACAAACATCTGAGCCACGTATGGAATTGCTGTTTTGTGCTTGCTTTTGTGGTTCCAGAGTTTCCTCCCTGAAGAGTTCTATATACTGTCACAACTGCTCGATACCTCATGCTAAAATTGTGCTCTAAGGAATAAGGCTGCTTCTAAAGTAAGGTGAAAGCTATGTCACTAATTATGCCTTCTTTTGTGCTATTTCTGCAGCAATTGAGTTAAACTTACTTTGGCAGTTTCTAAATTGGTGGTGGCAATCACCATTATTCAATGGAATATTCAGTAATTAGTACTCTGTGCATTGTGTTAGAAGTGTCTGTAGTAGTTCCCACCTAGGTGTACGACCTTGTCGTTGTGGTGGAGCTTGCATACCCCCCAACGATCCTGAGAGCAAGGCCGGGCGGTAGCGTAGCTACTGGCAGGGCCACCCTTGCCGGACAGGTCGAAGGAGAGGGGTCAGACGAAGCAGTACTCCAGAAGAGGATCTCAACAAAAATCCTCACTGGGCAGACGCAGCTCAAAAGCCATAGAGAAGACAATGAGTCTAGGGAGAGCAACCCAAAGAATCTGCCCTGCATGTTTGGAGGCAGTAAGGTGGGAGCCCCACCACCAAACTATCCCTGCGTGGCGCCCGTAACGCAACCAGGGGAAACTTACCTTACTGACAACTCTCAAGAGAATAGCCAGACTGAAAAAGAAGATAATGCTACGAAAAAGGATAAACGATCTAAGACGACGTAAAAAATGAAAATCACAACCTGGAATGTTAGAGGTTTGATAAACAAAGAAATCCAACTAATAACCGAACTCGAAAGATTTGGAGCAGACCTATGCGTTGTAACAGAAACCAAGAAAAAGATGAAAGGCTCTAAGGAACTGGGAAACTACCTGATGTTTTACAGTGGAGTTCCACAAAACATTAGAGCAGCCGCATGAGTAGCAATACTGATAAAAAAGGAATGGAAAAACAAAATTAATAATTATAACTATATTTCAGAGAGAATAATTAATATTAGAATAAAAATCCAAAGAGGATACTTGACAATATTGGGAATATACGCACCAGAAGAGGGAAGGAAAGAAGAAAGCACATTATTCTATGATACTTTACAAAAACACATGAATTCCATAAATAAGAACGATTATATAGTTGTCGCGGGAGATTTCAACGCAAGGATTGGAAACCAACCAATTGAAACAATAGTGGGAACCAATGGAGAAGACACAAAAAATGAAAACGGAAAGACCTTAATTAATTTTGCAACATTTAACAAACTAAAAATTACAAACAGCTTCTTCAACCACAGAGAAATCCACAAATACACACAGGCAGCGAGAGGAACAAAATACATAGTTGATTATGTATTAGTTAACTCTAAGTTGACATCCCTAGTTAATGATACACGAGCATATAGAAGTTTTGATGTATTCTCAGACGATTATATAGTAGGCACTAAAATAATTATCCCAGCAAGATGGATAAGAAAGAGAACGGACAAAAACAAACTGACAAAATATACTTCAAAATACACTTGCTACAACAAGACAGTATAAGGAAATTATACTGCACCAGACTGCACAACTACTTAGACCAAAGAGCAGTAGGTTTAAATGTAAATGAAGAATGGGAAGACTTAAAGCAATTGATGATAAAAGTAGCAACAGAAGTTTTGGGACAAAAGAAGTAGAAGATCTAAAAACAAAGAATACGAATATGGAATGATGAGAATAAAAACCATCATTGAAGATAAGAAAAGGGCTTATCTGAAGTACTTGCAAACACAATCCATACAAATAGGATAACGTATAAGCATAAATGTGCATTAGTTAAAAGAGAAGTTCAAAATTAAATAGAGAAAGTTGGGATAGATACATAAGTGAACATCAAAATGAATATACATGGAGCCCAAAATAAAGCGTACAAAATTCTAAAACACCCAAATAAAGACGAAAAGACACTGTACAAATAAATAATATACGCCCGAAAAGCAATGGCTGAGATACTATAAGGAATTGTGGACTTCAAACACACAAGAAGAAAAAATCGCAGATCGAAAATTTGTAGACTCATTAGAAACGAACTCGAAGAGATACTTATAAATTTAAAGAACAAAAAAAATCTCCAGGTAGCGATGGACTGAATATAGAATTATTCAAGTACGCACCTTCACAAATCAAACTAAGGTTTCTCTTTATACTAAATATATGTTGGAATACATATCAAATCTCAGAAGAATGCAAGAAAGCCATTATACACCCAATATTTAAGAAAGGAAATAGACAAGACTGTAACAATTACAGAGGAATTAGCCTATTCAACTCTGCCTACAAAATCTATGCAAAGATAATTACTAGGAGATTAAATAAAATAAGTAAGAACCTACTTTCGAAATTCCAAAATGGATTCCGAACGGGACGTTCATGCGCAGATAGCATACTTATTGTACAACAATTGATCGAGAAAAGACATGCATATAACCTTCCTACCGATATCCTGTTCATAGAATTTGAAAAGGCCTTTGACAAAGTCTCTCGAAATAAGTTATGGAGTATTATGCATAATAGTGGATACCCTAATCACATCATATAAACCATCAAAAGCTTATATTTTAAAACCACTATCAGTATTGACAAAGGAACTGGAGAAGATTGACTCAACGAGGAAGAATTGGCTCGAACACCTAACTAGAATGCCGCAAGATCAGCTACCCAAGACTATCCTCGAATACAAAATCATACATTCTACAGTACAAAATAATATATCCATCATAAACACGTATCTATGTCAATATAAACTAGTACCAATCATTTTTACATATTCTGTTGCAGGTTTTGAACCCCCCAAACTGGTAGTTGAATATAAAGAAGCCCATCTCCCATGAAGACAATTTTTCTTTTTTCCTTTTGTATTATTGTTTTCCAGTCTTTTTACACTACCTCTTATAAAATTAATTAGCATTTCATTATATTTTATTTAGTGCGAGAATTGAATTTGAATTCCTATTGTATTTAATTTTTAGAAATACCTGTATTGTACATTGTATGATTATGGTCACATAAATTCAGCATAAGCCATGTATGACAAGTCCTGACAAGCCATACATGGATTATGCTGAATTTATGTGACCAAAAAAAACAAAAACACACTATAGTTCACATTTGCTTTTAGACTTTTAGGTCTTGTTGAAAAATAACTTTAATTGTTGGGACTTGGTGAATTTCTGGTTAAAACTGAAATGAACTTTCCAATTAATAGAAAAGCTTCATTCATAACTATTGTATTTGAGAAATAAATAAATAAATAATGGAATGGGCACAAAAGTGCATATCATATAAAGTGGCACAAAAGTGCATATCATTTAGGTAAAGTTCTTCGCTATCTTCTGTCATTGTTTTAGTTCTTTTCTTGCATCTTTGAATACATCGAGTCTCACCAGTCTTGTGATCATGTGTTTTAATTCCTGATTTGTTTCTGTCCATCCTGGCATCTGTTGAGTAAAATTCTGGCCATATTTTTTTTTTCTTCTTCTTCTTCTTCTAACACTTGTGTACTTAAGACTGGTGGATAGTAGTAGTAATTAGTACCTTAAGTCCTCAATATAGAATGGTTCTCTGGTCTCTCTTCAACATTCTTGCCTCAGTTCTCTCTATGGAGACCATAGAGATACAATAATATTGGAAAAGTTATTGATAGCTTTTCCCATATTAATTGTATTCCGTATGTTATGATTGGGCTAATGACTGCATGAAATATTTTTACTGCTGATTCTAGTGACAGTTTGTGAACATTTTTTATAGAGTACATGGCTGTAATCGCCATTGCTGCTTTTTCTCTGATATGAATTTTGAATGAACTGCCTGTTGTCTTAAGTGTTATTCCTCAATATCTGTAATATGGAGCTATTTCGAGATATCTGTTCTTGAATTTCATTCGAGAAATAAAAATACCTCGTTAATTACACCCTAGAAATATCGATAACTCATAAAGATGCTAACATTATACAAGAATATTGAAATCGACAGATGAGATAGTTAATACACCGTCGAACTATAAGAAAATTAATATACGTTTATTTAAAAAATACGCACTTCACCAATAGCAGCCAGCTCCTTCTTCCGTTTCTGTGTTAGTTTCTTTTCTGTCTTTGCCGCAGTTTTTTCTGCTCCTTTTCCTTTTTTCTTATTTTTATCTTTCTTCCCCATTGTTCATCAAACCTGAGAGACCTGCAGCATTTATGAGGGCAAATTAATCAAATGACACTTCGCTTTCATGTATTTCAATATTATATCATGATAAAACACAGAAACCACGTGTTTACAAGTATCAAAAACAGCCGGTGCATCACGCAGCCAGAGAGTACATAGTCAGGGCCCTATAACTCCCATATAACGTGGTGGGGACCATTTACGGGTGGCGCGCTCTAGAGCATCCACCTCTTCACAGAAACTAAACAGGAACTGCTGCCAACAAACTTTCAACGTGCCTGACTGCTGCGTGAGTTCGCGGGTCGCAGCAGGACCATAATGTTACAAAAGTTAACGTATACGGCGTGATTTCTTCAAAAGTTCTTACAAGTGAGATATTTGATAAATTGTACATCTAGAAGACACTTTTCGTATTTGGCACAAATTAGCCAATTTGTATTGTGGGAACGTTGGCGAGCCTAACCCTGCAGCTGCACCCGGCAACACTGCAGCCTCCTTATAGTAGCAACCTCGAGCTTTGTCCCCGATTTTGATGGAGAGTTGCCGGGCCCTGGTACATAGTGGTACCACGGGTACAACGCAGCGAACTCAAGTAACAAATTGCATATTCTGTGCATTTTGAGAGTAAAGACTCGGTTTCACGTCGACATACGTCACGACATTTCGGGTCTTTCTGAGGCGTGCCGCTAGATGTCGCATGAATGCGACCGTGATTTCTTGTGCACAGTATACTGTGTCTAGAGTGCCCGTTTAGACTAGAGTGCCCGTTATACAAGTAGACAGACTTAGACATCAAATTACCGTGCACGTAACTTACACGACTTTCAATCACGTTACACTAGTCAGCGCGCCAGTTTCGTTCATTCGAAAGCTTATAATAGAATTATAAAACAAATACATCATCTATACACCCTTTCATTTTCAACACTGCCAAAAAGCATTATGCTACTTTAGTAAACGCCTCTATAAGCTTCCAGAGAAGGTAAAGAATATTAACATAATTAAATAAGCTAGGGAGATTTTTCTGAAGATTATTTACTACAAAAATTGATGAATATCTTAAAGACCCAAGTTAGTCCTTGTGATACTTCCTTTGAATTAAAAATTAAGCATTATTCAACGCCCGCAAGCATTATATTAATTTTGAATGACGTGTTTTCAAGGGCTATTCCGCGGTACGCTTCAGGTGAGAATGTCTCCTTTGCCTTTATAGTGGCTCTAGAGTTGCCGTGCGCCATTCTGATGGTATTTCTCCGCTTTGCATACATGCATTGAATAGTTTAGTTCAAGATTCCTCTAGGAGTGGTAGTGATTGTTTTAGGTGCTTATTGTACAAGACTTCGGGTTCTAAAGCTTTGATGACTTTTGTCTCCTTTATCGCTTCTTCGACAGTAAATAGTTCACGTTTCCCATATTTCACTCGGTTTTACCGGTATTGTCTTTTTGAGGCTAACGATTTTCCTAATATGTTCCTCCCATGTATTTACTGGGATATCTGCTGGCATCTGGGCTGTTTCGTGCGTAGTATGCAACATAGATTAGCCTTCTTGTATAACTTTGCTTCGTTCTCTATGTGTTCCGTTTTCTTCTGATTTAGTAGTCTTTTATATTCCTTCTTTTTTAATCTGTATTCTTGTAATTTTTCACTCTTTGGGGATGTCTTCTCTTCCTTTGGCTCTCCAGTGCTTTTTATCTTACCTTCTATTCTTTGTTGAACCAAACTTTTGCTCGTCTTTTTGTGGTGGGAACCGTGGCAGTTTCTATTGTCTCTCGGATCAGGTTCATTGCATTTGTTAGGTTCATGTTTTTTGATTCTTCTTTGATTGCTGGTAGTCGGTCTTTCTGTTTGGTCAGTTTTTCTTAGTATAGTTTTATTTTCTTTGGCTCCTCTTTTCTGCGTCTTTGCTTTGTGGTTTCCTTCAATTGTAGTGTCATCAGTATACGTATGTGCTTTCTTAGCAGTGTTGTATCTGACTTGCAGACTTGCAATTGTTTTGCGAATTCGAACCCTTGAACAAATGTTACATCTATTGCACTTGCTCCATTGTGGGCTACATATGTTTTCATTTGTCCGTTGTTTAGTAGTGTCAGTCCTTCGCGCATTAGGAACTGTACCACAGTGCTGGTCTTTGGGTTGTCTACATCGACTCTGCAGTTTAGGTCTCCAGTGATCACTATGTTATCTTTCCTGTATTTTATTTAGTGCTTCGGGTAACCTATCTTTTATGTCTATTGATGGAAATTCAGGATTGAAGCATGTACGATATAGATTCTCTTAGATTTGATGGCTATTAAATTTTCATTCCTGTGGACGATGAATAGGGCAAATTTTGGATGTAGTAAGCACATTATTCCTCCAATTGGTATTCCTGTTGGTGGTTTTATAGCATATTGGTGTATGTTGTAATACCCTGTTATTGTTGCGGGGTTTTATTTAGTTACAAACGTTTCCGTTAATGTTGATATTGATATATGATGAAATATCTTATTTGTTTCCAGTTTCAGAATGTTTTTCGATCCCTCTACGTTCCAGTTCAGAACTTTCATTTCTTGTGTTTCATATCCTTCCACTTCCCTGTGTGTCCGACTTCCCTGCCATAGTCGCATATTGTGTTTGAGGTTTTTTCTTTTACAATTCAACTCCTTGTCTTTGCTTGCGAAAATGAAACCTCCTGACTAATACCCTGGCCAGAAGTCCATGTTTTTATTTTGTCAAGTTCGCCCAGGGGAATTCCCACATTGAAAAACTGGTTTTCGTCCATTTGTCTCCAGTTGCTCACATTCAATTTTCCTGTTACACCATTATTTTCTAGGTGGTTTATAACTTTTTTTTCTTCTGTGTTTTCATTGAGTCCTCCGATAAACAGCCAGGCAATGTCCCCTTGTTGCCCAGAGTTCTCTCTTGGACTAGTCCCTCTGATACCGAAGGTGTCTCTGCCGTTATTGCGATTAGATTTTTCCATTTTTCTTGTTTGTTGGAATTGATAGTGAAATATCGTTGGTGGTTTTCTAATAATACTGTCTCTATATCCTGTCAGGTTTCCATCTTCTTCATAGTTTATCGTAGAAGACCGTGGAGTATCTTCTGCTGGGCGTTGGATTTGTTCTAATGCCATGTAGCTAAATTCCTGTATTTTTTCCATCGATTGCGCTTGCTGTATTTGAACATCTAATATTAAGGTTATTAAATTATGTTTTGCGTTAAAGATTCACTGAGCTCGTCTATCTTTTTTCTGAGGCCATCTTGACAGTTTGTTGACTATCGTCGCCTGTTTCACTTTCTTATTCTGTGGGGATGAGATGCTTATTCCGTAGGCACCAAATACGTTTCTGCATGACAGATACATCCACAGTAAATTTCCTTTCTTATCGCGAGTGCATTAAATTCTGTGGTCGAAAGTTGCGTGCAGGTCTTGTGAAACTATTTACAGCACTTTCCGTCACATCCCACGACTGTATCTTTGTCATTGAGTATCTTTGAATACTGCGGGCAGCATTGATGCGAGTTCTCATTCGCTTTCGCAAAGTTGGTCTTAGTTGGCATTTCGTTTGTTATTTACTTTGAAGTAATGTAATGTCTGTGATGTCGACTCCTGATGCAGCTATTCAGTAGCTAGCTTCTGCCCTTCTGCTCATGCAGCGTCACTAGAAAATTTCATGGCTCGTAGTCTTTCACTCTTACCTTGTGTTCTTTAGCCGAAATACACTATACTATACTGTAACGAATATTGCATCATCTGCCGGGATTCGCTGTGCGGATTGCATCTGCCGGCGCCCCCCTTCCCCCGAACTGGACGGTTCCGGGGCTATTCACGAGTCGCGTAGAAATGTGGAGCAAGTTCCCGATGGCTCGAGGCGGGCGCCGGTCAGGTATAAATTCGCCGCTGCCGGCGGCCACTAGTAGTGCTAGTCGGAAGTAAGCAGCCGCGAGTCAGTCAGTGTATGTAATCAGGGAGTAAGCTGTCCGAGTATGCAGTCTGTCTGAAGTCTCAAGTGGAAGCTGAGCTGTGAAGTGTGCATTATGGTGGACAGTGGTGCAGTAGTGGACCGCAGCCTGAAGTGTGGTCTGTGCAGTGAATTGTGGTCTGCGCAGTGAATTGTGGTCTGCGCAATGAATTGTGGTCTGGGCAGTGAATTGTGGTCCGCGCAGTGAATTGTGGTCAACGCAGTGGACTGTGCACAGAGCATCGGATTGTGCGATAGTGTAGAAGTGAACAGTAAATAAATAATCAGAAGTAAACAGTGTAAATAAATAATCAATAGAACAGAGTCGTGTGTAAGGGAAATAATCAAGTTTCAATAATCTCAATAATCAACTCTCTTTTTAAAACAATGATTTACATAGAGTGGACCACAAAGCTTATGTGTGAAGTGAAGGAAAGATTGCTAGCTGTGTAGCGCTCATGAACAAAGAACCTCGTGTTCTTTGCTTATGCGTCACATTTAGCAGTATGATGCAAGAACTGGGACGATTGAATTATAATGAATTTTAACGTCAAAATTCAGAGACGCCACAATATAGCCGCAGGGCATGTAGACATTGGATATAGCTGCAAGACATGTAGGATTTGGATATAGCCGCAGGGCATGTAGAAATTTGATGTAGTCGTAGGACATGAAGAATTAGATCTCGCCACAGGGCATGAAGAATTAGATATAGCTCTAGGGCATGTTGAAATTAGTTTTAGCCGCAAAGCATATAGGAATTGGATATAGCCGCCGGGTAGAAATTAGGTATAGCCGCGGGGTTTGTAGAAAACGGATAAAACCGAGGGCATGAAGGAATGCGATATAGCCGCAGGGCTTGCAGGAAAGGGATGTAGCCGAAGGACTTGTACGATTTGAATATAACCGCAGGGCACGTAAGAATTGGATATAGCCGCATGGCATGAAGAATAAGATATAGCCGCAAGGCATAAAGGAATTAGTTGTAGCCGCAGGGATTGTAGGAACTGTATATAGAACGGGGCATAAAGGATTTGGATATATCCGCAGGGCATGTGGGCATTTAATATAGCCGCGCGACAAGAAGGATTTGGCTGTAGTCGCAAGACATGTAGGCATTGGACAGAGCTGCAAGGCATGTCGAAATAGGATATAGTCGCAGAGCATGTAGGAACTGGTTATAGAAATGTGGCATGTAGGAATTGCATATACCGGAAGGGCATGAAGAATTT